GGCCATCATCCCGCTCTATCATCAGGGCTGTATTGCAATCAACACCAGGGGAGCCACAACTTATGGCACAAAGCGCACTCGACTCCGCAGGATGATCTTGCACATACAGCACCACGAAAGCCACCTCCTTAAAGTGATGGCTGAAGCAGTGAACGTTAGGATCCTTACAGCGAACGCAGATCCTCTTGATATTTTCCTCCAGACACGCCCCTTGTCAGGCTCCCTCCCGAGGCGAGTTGGCTTTTGGTCTCACGATGACAGGCAACGACAGCAAGCTCTTCGAGTAGACACGCAGCCTACTGAGCAAGTGGCCCCACAGCGAAACACAGAACGTACACACCACCAGATTGAATCAGCCCTACATACAAGGGTGCAGGGCCTACATGCTCTGGTACAGGAAATTGAGCGAACAGTAGACTATATGCCTCAAGATGTACAGGGTGCTCTCCTCACTCCCCTGGCTGACCTACACTCCCAGCTTTGTGGCCTGGTGTACGTAGCCTGGTTGCTCTCCTTTCTGCATCCACACGCGGATGATCATGACCAGTAGTTACAAGGCCGTAGAGATACGCCTCTGCCGCAACATGATGTCCCCCCTTTCTTAATTTGGTTGTTTGGGTCTTCAGGTAGAGATTGGCAATTGCCCCCCACGATAAGCTAGATGCAGTTGCTTCTCGGTAGATGCGTTTTGCTGTAATGTTTGGCTCGAAGCAGGTCGTAGCGGCCAGCACGCATGTGTGAGGTCAGCCTTAGCTGACATCACCAGTGTCGCCTTTCGTTTGCTTGTGACGCTCAGAGCAACTGCCAGCCTTAGTTGGCGGGGGCTGCTTTCGTACCTTCGAACAGAGCAACCACCATGTCACATGACCCGTGGATGGAAGACAGTAATTCACTGGACCTAACGGAAGGGTTGGAGGACAGAGTCCACGTGCCTTTTGTATATACGCGTGATCATGCGGAATGGCTGACAGCAGATGGCCAGGCCAGCTTCGCTAGGGGTACGGAGGCTAGGGTGGACCAGTCCCAGGAGGAAGCATATGCAGCGATGGCTATGAAAGACACTCTCAGCAGTCCTTTCGGCCTTGACTCTGCCTGCCCCACTCTGGGCTTGTCCGATGTTCGAGCTCAGCCACCCAAAAAGGACGAGGGGTATCCCACTCTTGAAACTGAGGGGGATTTGCCTGACACTACTGCCATCATTCGAACACTAATGTCACATCGTGACTTGATCATGAATAATCAAATGATCTACTTAATAGTGGACAATCGCATGCCAGCAGATGTCCCGCATTGGCCGGCTTTTGCAGCGTGGTGGGCTTCCCGTAGGTGCCTAGTAGGTCCCCAGGAAGAAACAACTGACATACTCTGGGTGTGTGCGGATACTACGACTGGACTCCATAAGGTTCCATACTACTGGGCAGGAGTTTTTGTGTTAGAGGTAGCACGTTTCTTGTATCCGGCGCAACACTTTGCACTCATTGACAATGACTGTGTACCAGTCACCTATTGCAGCTGGCGCATTAGCAGCACCAGTGGGTCGACCTGCTGGGGCGTGCACGCTCAGAGTCTAGTTCCTGTGCAGGAATTGGTATGCTCCTCTTCACAGAGGCTCACTTGGAATATAATGCAGGCCTGATCGTTTCAATCGGCAATCGCAGCAAGCACAGTCCGCTGGAACATGATGCTACTGCTTCGACCCTGGCGAAGAGCCTCCAAGCGGGCCGCCTTGCCTTGGTATCTAGAGCCAGACCACCAGTCAATCCAAGCGATACAGTCATCAGTGGCACTATGTTTACCCCTTTTGTTGGTGTTGCAATGCAAACCGCCCTTGACCTATGTATGGTCTGGTCCTTATATGGGCTTTACATGTGTAAGCACTTTTGGCCTAGCCCTGTTACCACCCCGGATGAACTTGGTCCAGACAGCACGATCAAGTGGCCACGGCAATCCCATCCCAGGGCCCTCACCCCTGCGGGAAGAGAGCGAACGCCGTGGGTCACCAGCTGGGCTCGAGCCACCTTTGAACAGGGAATACTTTCAGTGCTTCCAATGCTTACGGGGCCATGTACAGTCGCGTCGTTGCAAGGTGAACATCTCTTTCAAGCCAGTGCACTACCGCGCAACCGAATGCGTCCTGCCATATTTCATGCCTCTGGCAAAGCCAAAGTTGGAGCGCAAGCTGCTTTACGAGAGCTGGAGCATCAGGGGTGGGAAACGCTGCCGATTGCGATACTAGGCATGCCCAATCTCCCCCCCGCATGGGCTGTGGAGACTTGGAAACCAATAGGAGGTTGCAAATTCACAGGCTATTTCTCTGGGGTAGCAGGGAACAGTGCCTTGCGCTTCTGCCTGCTCTTAAAGTGGCGGGCGATTCGTCCGCAAGCGACAGAACTCTTTACAGCACAGCTGCAGGGGGACAGCCTTAGCTGTCTTCCGGCAGAGTTCGATGATACAGACGTGGAGACAGCGTCCACGCCCTCGTCTGATACTTCTGCCAAGAGAGCGGATCGACTTGCTCAAGCAATCGAAAGCGACTCGACTCAGGGTAGTCAGGCACCTGACCCTCGTCCATGCACTCCCTGTCCGCAACAGCCGTCTCCTCCCCTCTTTGTGCCGTGGAGTCAAGTCGCTCAACTACGAGGGGTAGTTGCAGTCCACACAGACATTGAAGCATGTCCTCACGAGGAATTGCAAGTTGCATTAGAGCACCCCCAGTGTCTGGTCCCCGGAGAAAAAGAGCACTTCCTTCAAGTTAATAGTGATTTGCTCCTTCAGCTCCGAGGCACGATTATGCCCCTGGAAGGTATTGCACCGCAGGTGTTTGAAGCTATATACCAACGGCAGCAGGGTGAAATACTCTGGGTCACTGTCCTATGGATGATTGCCCAACTCAATGATTACTGGGTTAGAGGCACATCCCCACCACTGCCGTCAGTATTTCAAATCAACTGTGGTGGCCTGGGAGGTGGAGCCCTTGAAGGGGAGGTCCCCCCGCACTTTCATTGCACGTGTCCGCCGGTCGGAGAAAGTCAAGTCTATGGGCCGTCACTCTCCCCCGCTGATGTCCTTGCTGATCAAGAATGGGGGGTTGCCTATGGCTGGTCGACCGGAGTGCATGAAGTCGCCACCCTCTTTGCGCTCACACAGAATCCGTGCCAAAAATGGGAAGCTCTAGGGTATGGCAAGGCAGCCCTTCTGTACCAACGAACCCAGCATGTGTTACAAGCAGCCAGGCTGCTCCCTGCTCATCGACGGCTGCCGCACCAGGCCTTTCTCAGTGGCCTTTGGTGGAAACTTCTTTCGCTCCAGCCACTGCGACTTCTTGCCTACTTGCCAGTGCTTGGGTGTCTGCGGCCGACTGAACAAGCAGACCCCACCCATTTTACTGTAAATGGTTTTAGTGCTGGCAGCTACACGGGAGCAGTGATTGCCTTAGCAATTCGTTGCCTCTGGCCAGCCAGTCAGATCACAGCGCGCCTAGGCGCCATTGCAATGCCGAAGAGTGTCTTAGCGGCACTCGTTGCCACTGCAGAGCCTGACAGGCCCAACTACTACCTTGTCCATGCTGCTGAAGACTGCTTGTGTGACTGGAAGCCGACAGAGAACGAGCTCGACATGTTGCAACAATAAGGAGATTTCTGGTGAATGGGTGGTTGGGAATGAATGGGTGGTCAGAAGATTTGCTGCCTGTGCTGTTTGCTGACATGGTCATTGTGTCAGTGTCAGCTGGAATACTAGTACTAGTAATCATGTGATGCGCAACTATGCAGCCACCACCCTGCGAACAAGCTGTGGCTCCACTACCACGACGTTGTCAACATGGGGTGAAGATGAGAAGCGCTAAGGGCCGTGCTCTGGCTTTTGAATTTACAGGACACTGCGTCCTTGAAACCAAGCACTGACCCAAGCAACACTGGGAACTGGGAAATTGGGAGGGTGGCACTTTGAGCCTTGATTCTAGGAGGATTTCAAAAGTATTCTAAGGATAGAGGTCACAAACTCACTATATATTAAGCTTAGATTCCAGGCGCTGTTAACTTATTTCCCGGGCCGGAGGTTCAAAGTTCAATCTTTCAAGATGGTTTGTAGTTCCCTCATCCCAACGAACAAAAAACCCTGGCGCGCGACCAAACAATGCAATCAACAGAATCGCGTTCTAGCCTTACAACAGCGAAGCCGCTGACTCCTAAATTTAAATGTGAGTGAGAGCAGGAACACATTGACTTCAGGTTTTCCATCCATCATAAGGCGTCGTTGCTCGTTTTGTAGCAGCCATCTACTTCTGAGCTGGCTCTGCAGGGCACACCAAATCGCACTGCCTCTCAGAATCTTCTGATTCTATCGACAACAAATCACACCGGCAATCTTTACAGATGCACTCAGCGACCTTGCGATCTGTCCTGGCAAAAAAATATGAAAGAGTGTTCAACAGGAGGACTAGCTGAGTGCATCCCTACACCACTGCAACGCGATGCTCCTTGGCAAGTATTCTGCAAGGACGTCCAGCCAGCACGACAAGCAAATCCGTTCACGCTTGACAAACTCAAGAAAATCCACCCATTGCTGGAGCTTGGACATTCTTCTCGGCGTCACTAAAGGATACTACAAGTGCGATTGCAATGGGCTAGCGGGAGAAAACTGTGTCAAGCCATGAGTTCCACAAACTTGTTAGTCTTTCGTTTTTGATGTGCATCCACATTCACCCTTTTCCTCCTGACATGCAATCTGACACTAAGCAAGCCCAAGCTCAGCAGGCAAAACCTGGCCCATGAAAAACGTTGCCAACAATGAGAATCAGAGTCAATCATCGCCAGCAGAACACTTCCAAAACACACATTCATCTTGGACGATGCCAAAACAGACCGGCCTTCATAAATATTGAATCGAAATACAAAGTTCTCTCAAGTACCTGAAGCAAGTTGTCACCCACAAAGCCACTAAAACCCCAACACTGAAGCGCAAACCAACACCTTGCACTCCGCAGCTCTGCCGATTTTCAGCTGGCCAGAAGCATCACAGTCGCCAATCGTCGACTCTATCAGTCGACCTCTTCAGGTTCCTCGGGCACTTCCACGTTCTCGTCCTCTTCACGAATCTCCTCTTCCTCCCCCTCCACGGCAGGTGCGGTCTGGTCCTCTGCGTCGGCCGGGGCTTCCGGCTCTGCATTTACATGTTTCTCCCAGAGCGCTCGCTTCATCTCCTCCTAAGGCGCAGGGGCTTCTCGGTGAGCGTTGAAGGAAAATAAACACAGAATGAAATGCGTCGGTCCAACTCATTGCTGCCTATAAATCATGGCAAGCTTCACCCATCTGCTTCACTTTATCCCAAGACTCACCTTTATTCAATTCAATCATGGCCAAATCCTCATTGGAACCAAGACTGCCAAACGGCGAAAGTACAGTGTTATGAGCTTGTCAAAACGGTTGCATGCTAGGCACAGCAATCTCCTTTGTCTTCGAAGCAGGCAAGTGTTTGGAACCCACCTTGAGAACAGAAGGCAAACGTAATCTGGAAAGGGGGCTGGAAACACAACGCTGCGCAACAATTCAGGGTTGTTTGATTGAGCCATGGTACACTGAAAACTTCTTTCTTGCCCAGCTTGATCCCCCACCGGTTGGAATTCTTGTAATAGCAAGGTCCCGCATAGTTCTTTTTGACCTTATCTGTGTTCTTACCAGAAGCCGTACTCTTTGCCTTGGCCTTAACCTTCGGCGCCGTTTTGGGCTTCGCCGCTGCAGCTGGTCGCTTCATAATCTTGTTGTTCTCCTCTGCCTTAGTCCCAGTGTCAGCGGGAGGGTCGACTTCTGGAACACCTGCGCACGGGTCTGCAGAACACGCCAAACTAACAACAACACTGCACCGGCTCTTGCCTTCAGACTCCACAGTGAGACTTGCTTCTGCTGCTGGGCGCTTCAAGGCTGGCTTGCGAGGCAGGACGAGCTGCTTCTTCGGTTCTGGCATCGGTTTTGCCTTGGCCTTTGGCCTTTCCTGCCAAAGAATTAACTGAAAACTTCCATTGAATTGTCAAAAAATGATCAAGAGTTCTACTGGCAAGTTGAATCAAACTTCAGGCCAAACTGATACAAACAGGTCCTCTCCGGAGCTGGGAGTCAAGTCACTCTCATTGACGACGGATTGGATTGGCATCTTCAATCGAATGAACTGTGCTAACTAGAAAGCTTGCAAACCAGGAGATCCCTGCGCGAGAACCGGCCCATTCTGCTAGGCTATGATATCCGAACAACGCCAAATGCGAACTCTGTGTGAGTGAAAGGCTCACCTGTCACATTGCACATCCGAACAATTGTTTTAATTTGGCCACTGATAGATCGAACTGCCGGATGTCAAAACTGATCACGCAGCTTTGCGCTGAGTGTCCCCATGGGCCAACAAGGTTCCAGAACAATTCCAACAACAAAAGGACGAATGGAAGTCACTCGGTTTGAATCGTTATGGCTGAAATCAGAAACTGCAAAGCCTGGCATCAGGCAGCCTCATGGTTGGACACTCAGGGACACGCTGACAAGTCCACACAGGATGCGGCAGGAATGGTCAACTTGGCTAGCAAGTACACCTTTGGCTTGACCGGAAGAATCTTGGGCGGGCTGCTGTTCACTTGAACCTGCCAATAAAAAGAAATCATTGGACCGAAACACACCGCAACTGCGCTGGAAAACTAATGGCCCACCTCCCAAGTCAGGGCACAGACCTCGTTCCTGGGAACCTTGTGGAAGTTGCTGGCAAAAAGGCCACCAAAGAAGGCTTTCTTCAAGTCAGGGTTGGCAGTCACAGGGTTTGGCTTGTAGATACATGTCTTCTGCGAGATAGTAGTGGAGATATCCCACCTGTCCAGCGACTGGCTCTACCAAGCAGAATTAGAAGGAGGACTGCGAACTACCTCAAAAGGATGAATGGAAACAACTTCAAATCTCTCGCCTAAAGTCGACTGGCGTGGCTTCATGACCATCCTGACTTCACCGTACTGCAGAATCCGCATCCAAAAACAAAACGCGCGATACCATCCCTGAAATACAAACAAACCAGAGGGGTTGCGGGCAAGGAACTGTAGCTGGGTGCATCTTCCCTGCGAGAACATGAAACTCAAGCTCCAAGTCAGCTAGACCTTGCTCCACAGCGCACTTGCGCATCAGCTGACACAGCGCAGTGGGCGTTTTCTCGTGGGACACGATGTTGCGGTCCGAAGCCAGCCTCCATGCAAGCCCCAAGGTTTCTTCGGACTCGCCTCAACTTGTTCTCAACATCCCTGATCAGAGAAACGTCTAGCGTTTTGATCAACAAGTTGTATATCCTCTCAAGTCTGACAAACAGGTCGGGGAAAAAGTTTCTAGGCAAAATGAAAGGCGCGAGATACAACCTGGTTCTGGTATTGACCAGTGCCAAAGCCAAACAACTCCCCAGCATCCATCTCCATAGCTTCGCTGGTGCTGTTGAGAAGCCACACATGGAAGTCTTTGGTCAACACCATCGTTGGCTTTCCTCCCTTCCCAGCGACCGCACCAAGCCTGAAATTGCCGCAAGAAAGTCCAACATGTGAGTGACATTCTAGAACCTTCTGAAAAATAGAATATGGGCAACCATATTCATCCAAAATCAGCCAAATAAAACCAATTGGCATCAATCACAAAAGGAAAAACATTTCTACCTACTGGCCTCTCGTCAGAGAAGTCTGAGATCGGCTTCGCGGGAAGGTCGACGACCCGTTTGCAATCCAGCGGGCGCAAGCCCTCATCAACGCTGAAATCGCACAGTGCGCTGGCGCGGTGGGCGTCTCCTCCTTTTGTGCTGCCCGGCGATGTCCCTCCAAACTCTTTTTCGAATTCTGCCTGCAAGGCAGCAATCTCAGCTCGCTCTTCACTCCCTTCGTTGAACCTGGCCTGCAAAACTGACAGCGGAAACAGTGGCTTGCCGTTCTTGAGCGGAACCAGGCTCAAACCCAATGCTTCTGAAGTAGGCACAGCTGTGGATGTTGGAGGACGCTCTTTGGGCGGTGCAATGTCCAAATTGTTGTCCTTGTTGTTTGAGGCCATCCATCAATCAATTTAACTACTTCCAACTGCACGGCGAACGACGATCAAAAACTAAAAGCTACAGAACTGCTGGACAGGACAGGCTTCCCAGCTTTCGTAAACTTGACTCTCCAGCGCTGCCCGGAGATCGGTGATTTTCTCGTCCCGCACAAAGCCAACATATACAAACTTCTTGCTATCACCATCCTTGGCAAGGAGGGTCTGCAAAGCTGCTCTGGCATGCTCCGCATGCCTGACAGGCAACAATTATCAGAAACGATTTGACGACCCTTTGAACATTAAACCAAGGAAGCCTGACAATCAGATTCCTAGTCTTTGGCAACCCCCCGCCGGTTCGGCACAATGTCAAACCAAACCAACTTGTCAGTGTCCCTGATGTCCATGCCGCCAACCAAAGACTTCATCAAGGCCTGCCCGCACGGCACACCTCGCCTTACATTTCAGCCGCAGAACACACCAAAAAGAATGCCAAAACAGAAACACCAAAATGGGAAGCAATCATCACAACACAAAACTGGAACAACAAAATGCCGAAAATGCAGACTTAAAGCTAAGGCGCTGTTCTACTCTCGCGCTCGCCGATGGTCGCGTCGCCTCGTCAAAGCCAAGCATGTCGGAGATGCGAATGAGAGGAAACGGTCCCACTCGCCCAGCAGTTACTGGGTCAGCTTCCATCCACGGAGTGTCTGAGTAGGAGTTGTGAGTCGTCATCAGGCACACATGAGCCAGTGGCCTGCCATCCCGGGGCCCAGCATCTGGCTTCACATAGAAAACTGTGGTCTCCTGCCCAATGGACATGTTGCCCTTGACCAAGTGGTCTTCAATGGTTCGGCGGTGCTTGATCCGGGCTATGTCTGTCGTCTGCTTCTGGAGAACTGGTAGCATGATGAATCCACAGTGCTGCGGGCTCATGGCTGTCACGGATGCCAGCGCATGGAAAGCACTCTTCACGTAGGCCGCGCCAGGGGGATACAGAGTCATGTCCATCGCCCCCACACAATACCTGTAGCCAACCACTATGACGGTCGCAACAAGTTGGCTGTTAAAACAAGATTCCTTCACATGAAAACTTGGGAACGTAACACTTGCCAATTCTCAAACCAAGGCACACTGATCCGGGAATACCTCGAAACTTCTCCAAAAATTTCAGAAAAGAAGGTAGCTCAGCGGACACATCTTCTTCTACCCGAATCAGCACTACATTGTTCGCCATGAACTCCTCTGCGTATTTGCGCCCCTTCCTCAGTTCACGCAAAATATGGCATATTGCAAAAAGGATTGTTTTGCACACCTTGAATGGAGGATTGAGAGCCAAACTTATTAATCTCTCAAGTTGACCGGGGATCAACCTTATACACTCAAAAAGTTTGTTAGGCAAAACGGGTTGGAATCTGTTGTCTGTCTCTCAAATATTTCATGTTCAGCGCGTGCTCCGCGGCCTCCTCACTCTTTCCAGGAAGTTTTGACCGCAGGATCTCGATGTCTGCAGCAAGCATTGCCTTGACTTGGGCCAAGTTGGCCGCCCTGGACAGGGCCGGGTTAGACCTCACCTATAGAACACCCCAACCAACCAAAAAAAGATCACCATAAAGGGGACGCTGCTACAAACCAAGTCTGTTAACCCAATAACCAGAATCTAGAACATGCATCGTCCAAGCCTGAACCCTGCAACAGCTTTGATGTCTGAGTTGGCTGGGACTTGGGTCTCGACAATGTGCAGAAGGTCTGCGTCAAGTAGGCCAGCCACAAATTGGCTGCTCACCTCCTTCTGGATGTCGGCAAACTGACTCTCAGGGCACATGGCCTGCATCTTGGTCTGGAACCACAAAAAGGCCCCGCACACCTGGTGCAGCTTGATCGCATCCTTGAGCCCTGTTGACTTCCGGAGGGGTGCTGGTGTGTTGTCGTGGTCCAGTACCAGCCTGCTCAGGTACAGCTTCACCTGAAAAGTCGACCGCAATTGAACTCTGCGGCCAAAAAACTCTGTGGCCAAATTAAAGGTTTGAAGCTCGTTGAAAATTGCGTTGCTTTGAATCAAGTTGCCAAAGAAAAGTCTTTAGCCCGGTTCGTGAACGGCTCTGCCCAGCTCTCAGCTGTTCCGAACCCGCTGGTCCAACCTGTAGAAAAGGTACCTTTGCCGATCACATCGCGATGAAGAAACTTGGATAAGCCCCGTTTGGTAACCAATTTCTCCAGCTCGGCGCCGATGTTCTCCGGAATAGACTTGGAAAGCTCAAACAATGCATCGCTCTCTGCCCTGCCAATACTAAACGCCTTCGCCATACCGGCTGCATTCTTCCAATCCTGCAGCTTGGTTCAAGTGGGCAGCTGGTCAAAATGTCCGTGAGCGATGCTTACAATAAACTAGAAACGGCAAAGAACCCTAACGGTGTCCTTCATTTGGGCATCTGCACTGCCCATACCAGACCGCTGGAGGACTTTCACTTGTCTCCAGAGGTTGAAGCAGTGAGGAGGCCTCCTCACTGCATTCGAGGACATCTGCGCGCCTGCAGGCTCAAGCTGCTTATAGAGACTGTCACTGTGTGGACTCTTAGTCTTGTGCGTCGGTAGAACTGTGAATTTGACACCTGCCAACAAGACCTCACCTCGGTTGGCCAGGACCTTGGACCGAACATCTTCAAATTGGCCGAAGGTGACGTGGAGTGTTCCCATGGAAGCCTGGGCAGGACCCCACGATAGGACAGAATAATAACACAGTGAAACAAAATCTCCTGAGTCTAGCAACTCTGATGTATTGCGGCGCGCAATCTCCAATGTCCAAGTGCTTGATCCCAGCAAGGGTACACAGAAGCATTAAGCAGCGTTTGTATCCCTTGACATAACCGACCGAAAAGGGTCTGATCAAGTGACCTTGGAGCCAAGGTCGAATCCAAAGCCAGCACCAAGAAGTCTACAAGAAAGCCACTTTAGATTCAAGGCAAAAGACCATAAGGTTCCAATGCTTTGCACTCGGAGTATGGTCTCTCTAGGTATGCCTCTGGTACAGGAGTGGCTGCGATCTTGCTGACTCCCACAGTGTTGGCATCAGTCAAAAACCTTGGGTAGCAACAGTTACGAACACTGCGCTAGCCTAGGAAAACCTTCAGTCCAGCAACCCCTCTGTGCAGATAAGCTCAATCAAGTTGATCGCGACATCGGGCTCTACCATGGCGCTCAATGAAAAATCTGAGCGCCAGCTACACTGCCATGGCCTGATCACGCCAGGCGCCTTCATGTCGATGCAATAGGAAAGCCTGCCAGCAACCCATGAGGCAACACAAAAACACCCGTGCGAAAGAGATAGCCTGGAAAGTCCTTTGTTGGATGGACTCACGTTGAAATTGATTTGGGAGAGTAAGTGCCAGGCGATGTGTTGGCAGGGCAGAAACTATCGATCCAGCCAGCGAACTTCAACATGTCTTCCTCCAAAGATTGTAAGAGTGCAATGGTTCAAAGAAAGTAACAAAGTTGTACTTGCAATAATTTCAACAACATGCTACCAATCAGGTGGCCTCCGTGCTGTATCGGTTGCTCAGGTATGCATCTGGCCCACCCTCGCTCAAAACCTCGCCTTCATACCTGAAAGTTCGCAAGTGGTTGCATGAAAACGCTGCGGCGAACTTTGAAAAACACAATGCCTTTCGACTCAGCGTTGATAGACCCAGCAAGTCTAAGCTGGCAATTTTCCTCTTGGGTTGGCCAAGGACGGGGCCATGATGCAAAGGCCCAGATGAACACCGATTTGGGGCCCGCATTTCTTGCATCATGGCCCCGTCCTTGGCCAACCCAAGAGGAAAATTGCCAGTCTAAGCCCTGTTTCGGAGGGGGAAGTGGAGCCTTGCTGGGGCTAGCCATGCTGAGTTGTACACTCGAACTCTTGACACTGACTATTGGCATGTTCCAAAATTGAAATCCAAGTGCCATGCTGTCAGCTTGCGAATCCAAAGATCCGAGTCGACCTTGTCGGCATCAGAGCCAGGACAGTCTGCCGATGGCTTCAAAGCCTTTGGCTTGCTGTCTGCGCCCCCCGACTTCCTTTTTTTGGGCGGCATGACTGTATTGCGTCTCTGCGTTTGAAAGGAAAACTTGCAACAAGCACAACTCCAAACCCAACACCCACAAATTCAACAGTCACATCCAACACACGACTTGTGAATCCGACACTCGCAAAACCGACAGTTGCAAATCCGACACTCGCAAATCCGACGCTTGCGAATCCGACACTCCTTGAATTCCAAACTGCATTATCCTTTCTAAGTAGGGAGTTTGCAAAAGGATGCTTTTTTGAAAGGGCTTCTGAGTCACCAATCTCAGGTGAGATCCGTGGATTGAAAATCCGACACTTCCAAATCCGACACTCATTCCCTTCAAAGCCAGGCACTTTACAACATATTGTTATATTGATTCTTTCAGCTTTATATTTGACAACAAAGCTGCCTGGAAGGGAAAACCGAAATGCTGATGAAATCGGTGGATCCGCGCCAACCCTGTGGACCAGCTCTGGGGTGACCAATCCTAGGTGGGATCGGTCACCCAGACCTTCCTCACCTAATGTTTCCATAACCTTACAATTTTTCAATCCTTTGAGGAAACCACACGGAAACATTGGGGTGACCAATCTCAGGTCAGATCCGTCGCGCTAAGTGGGCTCCAGAAAGTTCCAGCCATGTGACTGATTACTGCAGGGCCCCCCAAACCTCACATCAACCTGGCAATGGGGCCTTAAAGTGAATTGCCGCTCCCAAATTTCTAAACTGCCACAACGTTTAGGGTTTAGGGCTCCGCAACTTTAACTTGATGGGATGGTTGAAAGATCAACAAAAGGATCTGCTGTGGGGTTTGGGGACCCGCAAAAAAGAGTTGACAGCTCAACCGTGAACAGTTTAGGCTTCCGACAAAAAAACCGCTGCACCTGAACTTCGCAACAGTATGCAATTCTATGTTGCTGGAAGCTGGACACCCTGAAACATGCAGGCATCAGGCTTAGCCTCTGCCTCTCCCCTTGGCTTTGCCTTTTGGCATGGCCCGAGGCTTGGCTTTCCCTTTCCCGCGCCCCTTTTTGGAGCTTGGGTAAGCCTTGTCTATCGCATCGCGGGCCATCGTAATGGCCTCTGCCCATGGAACTCCTTCAACCCACAGTTTCGCAGCAGCTTGCATCTTGCACTGCTGCCGGTACTGCTCAGACAGTTTTCGGTGTTGACTAGGCAGCTGCAGCCTTCAAGCGAGAACCCTAACAAACATGAATGAAACAAAGTGTTGCCAGGCTAACAACGAGGTGGGTTCTGAGGTTGGTTGAATCAAATCTCTGCCAAGAAGCGCCAGCAGGTTTGGCATCACGTCGAAGGATGCTGTCCTCTCTTCAGCCCATTAATTATGAGCAAGACCCCGGCAGAACAGGCCTGGTGAAATTTAGCAGTCCTGGAAAATAAATCTGATGGAACCCGCCGCTCGTCAAAGCTCCGTCGAAGTCTTGTCCTTGGTTTGTCGAAGTCTTGTCGAAGTTTGCCGTTACCCTTTAAGAAACAGCGATCGGCACACTCACAACTTGGCCGAGCAATGCTGGCAAAGCGCTCACTCAAGTCTAATAAAGGCAATCTGGTCCAAGTTCCGTCGACCCAACTTTCCAAATAGTCAGCAGCTCGCCCCAACCCAAAATCTTTTTGCCGCAAAATCGGCAAAAATTTCATCAAGTTATCTTGGGTCGCTGCAGCAATCTCATTCACCGGAGCCACAACTGGCAAGGGCGCAAGTCAAAAGAATTCAAAAGGCAGAATGCCAAACCTCACCCGAAGCCGCCTGAAGGCAATCCCACCGGCAAGTGCTGCAGGGCCCACAGCCGGGGCAGGAAAAGGAAATTGTGGGTAAAAGTGGCCTCGTGCATCCACTGGCGTGTCCTGGCAAAGAACAATGAACAATGAACAAAAACTTCAACCAACAACTCAATGAACAATGGACTGAATGCGCACTGGGAATGAAAGCTCAATCGAACATATCAGGCCTTAGGATGACATCGTGCGGATGCTTGTCACTTATTTTCCAGAATTCCGATTGCTCTTCTTCAGCTAGACCTATCAGGCACACAATGGCCGGACCAATGCAAGTCTAAGTTCAAACATGGTTGCTTCACGCTGCAGAAGCAGGCCTGCGTCAACCCTTCTGCAAAAGTGCATGACGTGTGGGGCGCCGGGGCCCCCCAATCCCCTTGAGGGACACTGGCATAGCCTCCGAAAGCCATCCACGCCTACCAAAGAATAAAATGAAAAGTCCACGGGAGTCCATAAACAGAAACCTATATATAACTTGTAAGTTTTGACTTCCTCGCATCAGCACTGAACAAAGACCCCAAGAATTCCCCTGTACCGGCTAAGGGGAATCGGGTCCGTTTGAAGGAAATAGCTCGAGCCAACAAACCCTTATTGGCATGTTTTCGGGGCGCCTCTTTTTAATTCAATACACCTTTTATGAAAAAGGGGTACCCCCAAACATGCCTGCTAGGGTCTGTTGGTACTTCTGAATATTGAATTGGTCAATGTCAAGGCACCAATCTCTTATACTATCCAGTTTGACAACGAAGCGCTGGGGCTCAAATGGTCGGTCGAGCTGGCGGGTGAACTCTTCCAGTGCGTGGACAAAGTCTGAAGACGTCAGAGCAGTACGAACCTTCAACTTGATAAAGGATGCCACTCTTCCAAAAAGCTGATCGATGTCTTCATGGGAGTGACCGGTTCTGAGGAAACTTAGTCTCCCAGAACCGATCACTCCATCGCTGACCAAGCTGGCGACGTACCTCATGAGTATTCCGTTCTTGACTTCCCTGCAAGTGTTGTCGGCCTGCAGGGTAACCCTGCAGGCCGACAGGTCGACACCTGCCACAGCAAGTCGCTGGAGAGAGTCTGCTAGAATCTCGCAGCTTGTATTTGAATCCTTGGGAATGTTGGGTTCCGAGATGTAGAATGCGACATGTCGCCCGTGGGCGATCACTCCAACGATGTGAAGTTTCGGTCGCATGAAGCCCTCGAATGTTTTCGCCCGCATCAAGCTAGTTCTTGGAACAATGAATTTGCTTTGATCAATGCCGTCTTGTATACATACAACATCCAAGCCTCGTGCCCTTGCCAATCCCCTCATCCTCCAGTAACAGGATCGGTCCCGAAATTGGGCTTGAAGGTGCGTGTACAGCAGGTCCTGCTGAACCTTTCTGGCGTTCAAGTGATCGGCCAGCGAAGAAATTAGCGCCTTGTGCTTGACGCATTCGCTGCACTGGGCGTGAGAGCTGGTGCTCCTGAATCTCATGAAAGAATAGTGCGATGACCATACCTGGGGTCACGCAGGCAAAGTGCAACAACTTAACTTAGCAGACTTATTATTTATTATATAGCACTCACTAAGAGCGCACACACCCCACTCAAGCCGGAAAGCTGCCGCGCTTCTTGCAAACTAAAATACTCTCCAGAACGTTGGAAATGATGCTTTATGTTCAGCCTGGGATTGCCGCTTGTATTGGATCCAGTACTCTTTCATAGTGCCGGGTGGAAGGAACCGCTCCTCCATCCCGTCTGCAACACTTCGTCCAACAGCGATCTTCACGCCACGCTGACGCTGCTTTGCCCTGAGTTGCTTCTGGTCTGAAGCTTCGGAGTGAATGTTCAAGTTCAAGGCGTAGGGGTCACAATCGTCTTCCAAGAAGTCGTCGCGGACGTCGGGTATATTCTCCGCCACTGAACTGTAAATGGATTCCAAAAAGGAAACCACTTCTGACACACAGTCACTCACGCTATCAGATCCAAAGGAAGCTCTCTTCAAGTATCTGAGATCCACTGGTGGTTTTGGATCTCCCCGCTGCACACCATCAACCAATTTCTGAAAGCGTCGGGCGCCTTACCATGGAAGCAAATTGAAAGCACGCATGAGAAACGCATCACATTCAGGACATCCCTCACACCCACACTGACATAAACCCTTTTTAAGCTAGGACAAAGAAGCCCAGGCCATGCAACGCTTTCCAGCATCTAACACAAACAGGCCGTCCCATGAATGTCCACATGGTTCGTTGGCATCCATCTCGTGCAGATTCTTCATATATATGTTTGATTCGCTGAAATGCCTTGGCCACGCCGCGTGTTAAGGATGCCAGGGGACCAGGGGTTCGAACAAATGAAGAGAGAACATATATGAGAAAATTTAAGAATGAACCATCATGTAGGCTGCTACTTCATCCTGGTCCGTCTTGTGTAGTTCGCGCCACTGCGTCCTAAACCGGAGCAACTCCCCGCGCGCAGTGTTTCCTCGGAACTGTTCCTTGCAATTCCTCTTGCAACTGGAGGATTTGCAAAGCATTTTCTCCACAGAAACGACATCCTCAGCGGGTCTTCTGGCTTTGGGTGCTCCACCCTTTCGTTTCACGCGCGGAGCAGGCACCTGTGGCAAGTCATCAGAAGAACTTGCTGTCACGTCTTCGACAGGAGCGATCTGAGGCTCATCATCCATGCGCCCACAACGGTTGTTATCATATGTTGCAATTGGTTCGTGGCAAGCTGCATTCCCCAACACAGTGTTTAGAGGTGTACATTTGGGCTTCCACCAAGTTCCTATCACCCTTTGGGTCCCTCCATACCCAGTGCAAGACTTATCAAAGACATCTCATGTGTTTCCCACACATGTCTTTCCCATACTTATCTACCTGAAGGACAAGAAGGATAGAGATTCATAGTGCACACTGCTAAAGTGATCAAAGCAAAGCATTTCCCAACAAGGCAGTCGCAAACACATGTCAAATTAAAGCTCGCTTTCTCATCGCGCGCGCAGCGAACGCGTGATTGGAATGAAAGTCCATGTTGCTATCCAACACAGGCCTCACTTCCCAACCCACACACAAATTTGTGCCAGCAACCCCTAAATGATTACGCTAATTAATTATGCGTGAAAATCACTGCAGGGATGGACCAGGGCTTCATGTATGCAAACAATTTAGCACTGCAAACTATGTTTGCTTCAGTTGCTACAAGTGGCACCTACAAGCAGTCTGCACCGAACGGCCACCTACAAACTAACATATACCTGGCCTTGCCCCTGCCTCACCACACAATGCAAAATGGCGCTTGCCAAATCGGCGCAAGCAGGCACAACAACATTGCCGAGGATTTTCAATCTCTCGTTGTCCTGATCTGTTGGCTTCTCCACGGTGAGACATTGGTGCAATGGCAGCGAGTTCCGTGGGTTGAAAGGTTCCTGAAAAAAGGTATTGATGGGGCGAAACTCCAGCTCCTGCCCACAAGGCACAACTGGCGCCAGCATGTTTCACATGTTTCACTCGAACCAATGGGTTTGACCAGCGACATGAAAACACATCTCCGAGAAAAGGTCCTGGAAGAGCCTGCAGCCTTTGACCACAGCAAAGAAGAAGGTCCTCCTCCGTTGCGCCTGTCAAAAGAGCTTGCACAGCGGCGCTACCACTTTGACCACCAGCAACTTGCTGTCAGGAAGATTGCAGCCTAGCGACTGGCAATCCGACGTTCTCCAAGGCCACACTGGTCCAACTCAACGTGAGACCACGGGAACAACAAGCCTGCCAGCGCTAACATTACATGCAAAAAGAATGAGAAACAGCCCATCGCGGCCTTGATCAGGAAGTACATGAGGTCCTTCATGTCGTTCTGCTTGGACAGAATGCTCTTCACGTTCTCCAAGTAGATAAACTTCCTGGACATGATTGATAAAATTTTGCTCAACACCATGCCCCCGGTGCCACTGCCTCTGGCGTGGCGGCAACTCATCAAAAACCTTGAACACCGCCCGGAGCAAACCACTGCGAGGGTCATTGAGACCCATCTGCGAACCTCCACATGATATCCCCTGGCAAAAACAAAAATGCATTGAGCGCTCTCAACCAAAATCTTTGAATGTTGAAATGAACATGCACAACTCTAAAATGCGATAGCTCACCTGGCAGGGGAAGCCGCCACCTACTCCACATGCTTCCGTGTCTTCTGACACCTGAAAAGTGGTTACATCAGAGTGTACTCGGCCGCGGTGCAACAGACCCTCTTGCATCCTCTTGCGCAACACCAATTGCGCAAACTCATTGATCTCCACCTTGCGACATGCCGAAATTGGATTAAATAAGTCAACGGACAACCGGCGCTGAGAAATCAAATCTTAAGTCACCCACATACTCTGTTGCCCATATAAACCTCAGACTTGCCAGGCCCAGCTCACGTCAAGCTGATGCCCTTAAGTACGTGTACAATAAGCATAGATGTCCATTATTTTTCTTTCGTGGCGCTACTCGATGCTCGCCCTCAGTGAAACCTGCGCTGCCTCTCGTCAACTGGTCTGGAAAAGGGTCCCTGCGTCCTGAATTGCTCTGTCTCGCAGCAATAGGTCGGTGGGAAACCAAGCAGGACCGCTTGTGACATGATTGAATTCTGTCCTCTCAGCGGCCATCATTGGAGGTGCACTAGGCGAGCTGAAGTCCTTGGTTTTCGATTGAAAATCTACAAGCTGCAAAGTTGGTTGGCTTGGCGGTGTCAAAGCCTACGCTGAACACTGACAAATAAGTTCTAAACAGTCTGAAACTCTAGCCATTCTCGACATTGCCAGCACCAGAACCACCTCAAAAAAATTAACATGAAATCGGGGCACTGCCTTCAAACGGGTTAGCTTGTCACTTGATTGAGGCGGCAGCTCCTTTCCGTGCCACTTCGTGGTAACGCTGGCGCCCACTTGAATCCTGAGGGGGGGCCAGCTTGGACTGCAAATATCGCAACCCAGTTTGGATTACAAAATGCATGCAAGGCTCCGCACTTGGTTTATGCCGATGGTTTTCACCACCCCCAAAGATCTGCGGACATCTGGTTCCATTTCGCTGGGCACTGATTGCTCACTGTCACAACGGCGGCGCTTGGTCGAGACATCCATCAAGCAAGAACACTGAAACAATTCAAAGTAGTATAATGATAATATTTTATAAATTAATGCAAACTTCCGAACGACACAAAACGCTGTAGGTTGTCAAGTTATGAGGTAGCTGGTAGCTGACAGCCGAAACTCGCACCACACACCAATCCAAACCCCTCAAGGCACTCATTCTAGGCTATATCACCCGCGGCAAGAACGCTACAAAACTCTTGAGCTGCGGGCCGGGAGAGTCCCAGCTCCAATGCGCCACATCCGCTGAACAACGAAATGCAAGGCGCCTTCCCCGCCTGCAACAGGCTCCGTTGCCACAAACACTTCCTTGAAGGAACGAAACAATGACAAACTGCCCACAAGGCCTTGGACAGGGCATGTGGAAACATCTGCTCAAATGTTTTCTTGCAAACCTTGCTCTCCAATGAAGTCCAGTTGGTTGGCAAACCAGAAAACCATTCCGCTGCCGGCAATGCCAAGTACTGGCCCAAAGACACCTTTGCTGCCCTGCAAGCGTTCTGGTAGGTCACTGAATGGCGGATTTGGTTTGCCAAATCCTCAAAGAGTCGCAGAAACATGCAATTGAACAGTGGGCATGCCGTCATTATAACCAAAAGCTAAGAGCTAGGCACAGATTCCCCGGTTGCTGGGGTTGGCTGAACTTCTGACAGTTGCTGAGAAGCAGCCTTGGTACCCAACCCTGATCCTGACAATATAAAGAGGTGTAAACTCTTGTGAAAAAACACCAAATCACCAGGAATGAAACCATTTACAACCAGAAAAGGGAACGCGATAGATGAGTCCCCCGCGAATCGAGCTCCAGCTTGAAAAGATTCTTTGGCCAGTGAACATCCCAGACTTCAACGGTGCGCGGCGTTTCCCACTGACCCCTTTGGCGGGCTTGTGAACCTCACTCAACGCTGTATGAAACCAGCTGAACCCTGCATCCAGACACGCAATACACTGGAAGGTCTACCTGAAACATCACAAGGTTCCATCGGCTGGGGGAATGACCACCTTGAGATTCAGCTTCTTTGCTTTGGCAAGGCGTGTGCAATATGGCTGCAACCGCACACAACTCTTCGAAAACTTCAAGACAGTTGCACAACTAGGGAGAGCCAAATCTTTACAACGGCTCCAGTTCACAACCTTCATGCACTTGAGCCATTTGCCGGCAGGGTATCTTCTCGAAGGTTCCTGCACGTGGCTGCGCAAAAACCTCCAGTTTAAGATGTAATTGACAAGTTCCCTCAAATTCCAAAACAAAAGGGGTGCCTCGACCAAAGGTGGGGCCGGCGCCAGTGACCTCCAGTGGCCCAGAATCTTTTTGAGTTCGTTGAGAAGGCTGAGAAAAAGAAAACCACCAAGGCCGCGGCTCCATCTCACTTTCGGACACTTGATCCACGGAATCACAAACAGGCGTGATTTGCGAAGCGCTGAATCCAAAACTCTTGCAATGTGCACCGTGAATCTCAAATGGCTTTGCAAACATGATCATGAACATCAAATCTTCTCAACAGCGCTGGCACTAGACACACTGCGCAAAACATAGACTAGCCTCCGTCGGTCAACGGCGGTCGAGAATGGGAATGAATGGGGCACCATCGATGTCGCCAAGTCCTGGCCAACAGTAAGGCGCAAAACAACATGACAAGCAAAAGGAAGGGGCTTCAACTGCACACCTGCACCAAACAAGGAAAGACCTACCTTGGAAGGTCGTCAATGTCGATGCTGGTGAATCCCAACCTGTCCAAAATGTTCGACTATCAGCTCTGAAACTGAGACCTGCGATGCATTGAAATGGCATCAGACTTCACTTAAAGTCGATGAATACTGGGTGTCCTGGGTGTCGAGCCGGGTCCATCACAGGGCCAAAATCGGCCCATATAGCCCGTTGCCTATCTTGCCAATAAAACGCGCGTCAAAAACCCTTTGTCTGGACCCTGTGAAAACTCTCATGCCAAGGTGTTGGAATAACATATTGCTGTTGATTCTTGTGAAGTTGGAGTACTATGTGAATTTGAAGGCTTGATTACGTTGGCCCCAGAGTTGATGAGTTGCGATTCATGTTTTGCTGTGAGTGGGTGAGGAACGCCATAGCAAAATAGTAGAAAGGTGAAGGGCAAAGTTGGCACTACGTCGACATGCGTTCCTACAGGACTTGCGCCTCGAGACCATCTGCCTCGAGACCCACCATCTGGCAAGCCACCACCGGTCCTACAGTGAGAACGCTTTAGTCTGGGACCAATCTAGATCTAGCACTGAATTTGCTTCTCAAGCAGAAGTCGACCAGCATATGGGTGGGCTAACTAATTAATTGACCTGCGGAAGGCAAACAGTTCGTGAAATTGAAAACCGTTTGCCCCAACACATTCAAGGAGCGATAAATCACCTGAAAAACACAGTGTCTCTAATTCTTCAAGAAGGACGCTCGCTGCACAATAGTCTTTGAGGCCCGGGCACATGATGGGCCAGCTGGCCGGCAAACTTCTATGAGCAAAAGCCGTTTGCGGTGCTTCTGCGTACCACCACCCCCACACGTAGCATAAATTACCAGACACTTTTTCAACATGAAAACACGACAACATTCAACACACTACACAATAGTCATCCACTGCGCCTGCCACAAAATCAAGACGGTCGTCGCCATGGATGGTGGCTTCATAGTCTTGCGTCAGATTACTTGTATTCCAACTGACACAATGACCATGTCAGCGTCAGCAACCTTCACAGGCAGCAAAGCTTCTGACCACCCATTCAATTCCAACCACCCATTCACCAGAAATTTCCTTCAATCCTTACACATCACGTATGTGACAGACTCTGCAAGATGGATGGGCAAGCACAAGCACTGTTACTGGCACTGGCTCCAGTGCCAACTTCCTGCGGGCAAAGTTAGCCTCACCACACTGAAGCTCACGCACCCGGATGTTATCCCTCGCCGCGATCGGATTGCTGCTCCGATGCGACTTGCCTCCTGGATCCGATTCGAAACGGCCATGACGAGTGAGGATTGGGAAGGAGCTATCAGTTTGTTGGTGTCCAATCTTCATTGTCCTGGCCAGGAATTGCTGGTGCTGCTGCAAAGCTGTGTGGCAGGACAGCCAATTGCCTCCATGGAAGAAGCACAGGCGCTGCTGCTCAAAAACTTTCGTGTTGGCAAAGGTACCCAAAGCGCGTGCGCTCAATGGCTGACTGAGATGGCTCGAGACCTACTGGCGCCGATCCCGTTTCGAGAAGTCTTTGTCATTCCAGCCCTCTTTCTTCCGCAGCTCACTTTTGTTGATGAGGCCACCACAAGACAAGAACTGTGGAGCAGCCCCACAGTGCGAAAGTTTGGCCTAGTCGTGGAGGTCACGCCCACAGCCACTGGATTGCAGGGCATGCATGAATATCGCATAGCCTTTCCTTCGGGGTCGCAAACTGCTATCTTTTGTCCGGCGCACTTCCAAGGTTGTAATTTTGAACAACTCGCCAGCAGTCCCTCGAGCACAGTGCACATGGGCTCGCAGGCTGGGAAGGCTTATCGAATTGTTCTGGAGGAGCACGGCGCATGCTACTCTGTCTTGGCGCCTTGCTGGCTTTTGTGTCTCCCTCTCGAAAGCGAAAAGGAGATGAATCGCCAAGTGAAAAACTTCGTCGGCTGAGCAGTCCTCGGCACTGGGATGTTGCCTTAGTACCGTTCCCGGAGGATTTCGTGCCACTGCCCACGCCAACCGAAACCGGACTAGCGTGCCCAGCGCCATGGGCGTTCCCACCTAGCCTCTGCGCGCTAGAACCTAGAGCAACTAAGCTCCGA